CTCCATAATCTGCATCTACTTCTTTGGTTTCTAAATTGCATTTAAGGTGGCTGTGATGTATAAGCACCGCAGGCATTGTCTTGCTGCTTGAGAACTTCTTTCCTAATGCCATACCGTCACAGTTCCATCTACTTCTCACAGCTGAGCACCCTCTGTTTGGAGTAGAGGAGCTGACAGTACAGCATTCTCTGAAAGGGATCCTCAGCTCTGGAATTGGCTCTTCTAGTCCAAAAGGGCCTAAATCTTGACCTGTGGAGTGCTAAGCCATGTTTACATAGGCTGCTGTGGAGGTGGACCTTTGCCAGAAATGTATGGGTGAGAAGAGTTTGCCTGCAGAGCACCAGTCTAATTTTGTATTTAATTTATGGCAGGGGCACCAAGAGGCTTGGTTGGGTCCCCTTCTTACCTAAAATGTACAGATGAGCTGATTTGCCAAAGCTGGAAGCTTGCCCAACTAATGTACATCTGTGCTCAAAATAAATTCCTCTGGCTAGATAGCTGTAACTGATCAGACTCTGTTAGTGGAGCTGTAAAGCTAGACTGCTTCAAATTGTCATGACAAATCAGACCATGTCCCAAGGGTTTGGGTAGCCTTTCTTAACTCTAGGTGATCATGAAGAGCAGAGCAAGTAATGAAAGAGTAAACTTTGTACCCATTTTTGGTGTAGATAGGGTTATCTTAAAACCTAGTGAAGTAAACACATGACTGGGAGGGGAACTAACTCTTTCTCTCTTCCTATGCAGGCCATGTGGTGAGGGCATGATATTAAAGCTTGGTTCTGCTGCTTTAATCTGATAGTAAGGTAGAGTTTCAATGTAAATCTGAGGCTAGATAAACTTACTCTTGAACAACCATCAGGGGATACATGAGAAAATTGTTTTTGTTTTTTTTTAAGTTTCAGCCTGGGGCTTTTCAGAAAGAGAACCACCCCCCAGAACACAGCTTATACTTTTAGTTGCACTCGAAGTGGAAGGAAAAACTGTTAGTAATCTTAAACTAATTCTCTATTGCATGTTAAAACTAGCCACTAGTAACTGGGGAACACAAGTATGGTACTTCATAACTATGGCCCACAGTCCAGCAATGGGAACTACAGGCTTTCCCAAAACTGTCCCAGTGTTATACATGTATTTACTGATTCTGCTTTGTTCCATTGGTTTGTACATCTTGTAGCTGCCCTATGGGAGTCTACTCCAAGGTTCCTTATTACTGTTGTGGTAATAGGACCCACTCAGCCAGGTGCTTTGTACATTCGGTTGTGAACAAGGTTACATCTGAACACTGGGACTGCAATAAACTGAGGCTGAACTAACACCTCCCTTCCATTGTGGTGTCTAATGCACTGCTGCAGAACCATACAGTAAATTTATCCAGCTTACCCCTGTTAAATGGACATGGCAACAATGAAAATCATGATTGAATTAGCTGATCCAGTTCCTATTCACTTGCCATAAGTATGTAGACCTTTAGAGGAAAAAGCTTCAGGTTCTAAACTGCTGTTACATCGACTCACTCAAATGTAGCTAAAAACCACCACATCAATATATTGTGCCAAGACTAGTTCAGGGATAAAGGACATGTGCCTATAACATTAACTGAATAGATAATTATGCCATGGGTGAGAGTGGAGAGACCACCCTCTAACAAAAAATGGATGTGCCTGTACAAGAGAAACTTTGAGCAGTACCTTCCATGGAAGGTACTGCTCAATCTTCAACTCCAGTTTTTAAAGCTGTTTAACTTATTGCTAAGCAAACTCAAACCTTCACATCACAAAATTAACTTACTTGCAGTTTTCATGCTTTTATGGTTTCTGGCCTCTGGTAACTAAAACTCTGTACTTAAATTAGACAAGTTGGAAGAATTCAGGTTGTCTCATAGCTCTCTTGTGAGAGAAGCTGTGCAAGTTCTTTACCAGCTGTAGGGTGTTACACTTGAGGGGCTGGGTGTCTTTCTAGTTTGATGTCTGAAATAAGCATTTATTGGCTTTAAAGTACTGTTAATCAAAGATAATTTAACCATTCCTGCCTCTGGCATAGGCACACCTACATAGCTTTACCTGTCACTTCTCAACCAGACTTGAGCTTTACCTGAACAAGGCTGTCTACTGGTGTCTTTTTAGACTTTGTATCCGCACCAGGTGCTCTTCAGCCATAACTTGCAGATTTAGAGCTGAATCCACCACAGATGAGAAGAGCTGCTCTATAGTCAAAATATACACACACTCAACAGGAAGGAGTATCTTCCAACAGCTTGTATTCTGGGGGCTTCTCTAAATGGCCCCTTTCTACATTTTAGTGAGGACAATGGTCCTAAAATTAACAATCATAACAGCAGCCTAGACAGACGATATTAAATAAGGGGATCAAGGCCCAGTTTAGAGCTCAAATTTATTCACAAGCAGATTCAAACAGGTCTTCGGGTATTTGTCTTCCTCTCTCTACCCATGAAGACTGAATGCTGCTTCAACCAAATTAACGTAGGGTAAGAGGAATGCTGCAACTTCTTGGCTCCTACAATGCTATAATCTTAACCTATTAGCTCTATGAACTACTAGGCAACTCTCATTAGCTCTGAAAGAGCACATGCAAAGTTAGTCTGTTCCTTTAGGTTCAACATGAAGGAAAGTTCCAGCAAATTATCCCTAATCTAAATAGGGAAGGCTTTTGTGACCACATCAGGGAGTCTCCCTGTGCACAAAGCAGTGACTGCCAAGTTCTTATAGCACTTTTTAGTGGTAAATCTCAGAGCACTTTCCCCAAGTCAGTGTTGCTTTCCCCATTTTACGAATAGGAACCTGAAGCTCAGAGGAAGTAACTTGCCCAAGCTTATTTACCTGAGCTGGGACTAGAGGCCAGGTCTCCTGAGGTTCAGTAGTCTATTCAGTATGCCACACAGCTCTGATTGGTTAACTCCTCCCAGTTATTCTAGCTACATATATGGACCTTGTTGTAAGAGTTGAGCACCTCAAACAATAATCACCACCCCTATAAGTTAGGAAATAGCTCTGAGGCTTAGATCAATGCCTTAAGCACAAATTTAGCATCTACCTTTGCAATATAGCCTTGTGTTCAATGCCTCCTTAAGTTCTGTACTTGCAGAATAATAGTCAGTTTCTGAATATCAGGACCTTAAAGTCCACCTGCAAGTCATGTAGTGTTTTCCTTAAACCCACACCAATTACCTTTGGTGTTGGCTAGGTTGAATTTAAGCCATGCATTTCCCCATCCAAAGCAACCTCCTAAGAGCCCCTTTGTGACATGCTGCAGGGGATATGGCATGGGGATGGGGACTCAGGAGACCGCTCCTATTCTCACCTCTGCCACTAATTTAGAAAGTGATTGGCCTAAACTCACCCACTGTCTCATTTTCCCCCTGCCACCCTTCTTTAGATTACTTTTAGAAAGCACTGCTGTGCTTCTTCCCCCCCCCTCCCTGACTTTTAAACAATGAGCAATTACCTTAACTTTCCCCTAAGACCTCACGTTCAAGAATTAATTTAACCACTAAAGGGCAGTTTTCCCAGTGACCACAGCTTTGTCATGAAAACTATGATCAATTACAACACAGGTTGCTGCTCTAGCACTAGCCACATGGATAACTTGCCCAAAATTCAACCTCTTTTTTTTTTTTAGTGTAGATTTAGCAGAATGCCTTTTGCTCCATTTTATGGGGCTGTGTTCTACCCTATGCTACAACCTGACCAGCTAAAGGTGTTACCCTTAACCTACACCAGGAAAAGTCAAACAGATTGGTTTTAGTTAGCTAAATCCAGCCTACACATGACCACTTTTCCTAGTAAAAAAACAAACCCAAAGGAATGAAACCTGTCAAAAAATAATCCTCAACAAAGGGGGAAATGGGGTGCAAGGTACATCAACCCCCCAATTATTTTCATGTTAATTGCAGGTTAGCACTGATACAAGGAAAAGTGGAGAGAGGCTTATCCTGGTTGGCATTGTTCCAATTTCCTTTCAGAGTACTATTACACAAACCAACCAGCAGGGGGTAGTGTAATAACACAGCTTGCACCCTACATCAAGGGCCACCTGTTGCTTTTCACTATTGTTTCTTAAAGGCAAGGCTAGAAGGCTGCAATTGGAGTTGAGCTTCAATTACACGATGTTGCATCAGTTGATTTATTGCATAAATGTTTCATGTAGAGACAGTTGCTAATGTGGTAAGTTATGGTTTCAGAGCTCTGCTGTTATTTCATCTATTAAGGGAGCGATTTTCCAGATATTCTTCTAAAACATTTAATTTGCAGTTAGCCCTGGTGGCACAGGGCGAGCTAAAACACAACACCCCAGATATTGGAGGGAGGGGAGAGAGGAATCAGTGACATCATACCTATTCTAACATGCTAGTCTACAAGGAAATTAGAACCTATCCTTTTTTCAGCTGCCTTGTATGTGGAACTGGGAAGAGAACCTGACTGTTTAAGTACCTTAGTAGCATAGGAAACAAACTCTGCTGAATTGGTCTCAGAACTTTTCTTCATTCTGTTTTACTGAGCTTAAAGTCAAGCTCCTAATGAGTTACCACCATCCAACATTGCTTGGGACTCTTCCAAAGAATAGTGAGGTTAGGCTTGCTCTTTCAGCATGGGTAGTGACATCTTATTCACCTCCCATTTCCCCTGCAAATTCTGTGGATACTGGATTCTTCCCTTTTTGGCTTAGAGTGTTGTTGCATGCTATTTAACAGGTATTGTATTTCATGCTAGAGATGGTTGCTGTACATAGCTTACTTTTACAACCTAAAATACCACCTAACAGTGTTACATATGTTACAGTTCCAGGGATACTGCACTTCTGCAGTCTCCTCAAAAGGTATCATTTTAGGTCTCAGGCATTTAGCTGCCATCTGTTTGGTTCAGGACTTGTGTTCCTCTCCCTCCAAAGGAGAATTTTAGGATTGCTCTTCCTTTGCAATTCATTGCGCTTATCCCAGCAATTAAATATTTAAAAAAAACAAAAAGTGACCATACTAGGCAAGAAAAGGTCAAAAGATAGACATGCTTTTTATTTTTACTAAAGCAGAACCATAGAAATGAAAACATAGCTTGGATTTTATCCCCGTTACTACGTTGGTGCTGAAGTATACAATTGCTCCAATAAAACTGAGGCTTGTTCTCCATCTTAGAAGAGTTTGAGATGGCCAGAAACTTTATCCACTATATCAGCTGGTCCTGGTCCGATACCTAGTACAGTCCGGGAGCCTGGTGCTATCTGAGTACGACCTGCATCTTGGATTATACTCACAGTTAGTCCCAGCTGTTTAGCATCAACAAGGAGTTGAACTAGCGACTCTTCATTAGGGGCTTTGAGAACCACTTTTGGCTGTCCACAATACTCCCACTGTTTAAGCAGCTCAGGATTTCTTCGTTGAACTTGCTTGTAGGCAGAAACTGCAGCATGAGAACACTGTGCTGCTACTTTACCCTTTCCCATCTTTAAGTCATTACGGACTATCAGCACCATCTTGTATTCTCCAGACTCTCCCATGATACTGGCTTCATTCCCCAGCTCATTTGCTAACAGAGGCATTTTGGCTTTAGATGGTCTAAAGAATCGCCCACGCATGCCCCAGCCCACGCATACTCCACATGCGACTCCTGCAATGACGCTGAGGACACCCGGTTTAAAGAGAGAATCCATAGTAGCAGATTGGGAGATTGACTAAAACAAAAGAAATGTTAAGATTAGCTTAATAAAACATCCTTTCATTTTATATTACACCTTTCATTGGAGCAACACCATACAGCACGGGACGGTGTAGTTATCAGAACACAGGTCTCCTGAATCCTAGTCCCTACTGCTTCCTATTAGCGGATACTCATCCAGGTGAGAAAGTATAACTCATGTTAACATTTTCCAATATTTTAAGGTTTGGTGTTTTTTTTTTTTAGCTTTCTGGAATCATGACCAATTCTTTATCATTGAGAAACAAAGGGACATTCAGAAGTGGATAATCTATTCCATTTTCACGTACTATGAGACTGGGAACTTCTGTTCTCCCTATTTGCCTCCTCTACTCACACATCAACAAAAGTGTTATGTTCTGATTGCAAAAATCCTCATTGCTGATGAGGCAGAAGCCAGAAGGAACTCAGATCAACTTCTGGATTCCATGTGGCATTTATAGAGCTGGTAATTAGGAAAAAAGTTTACTTGCATAAACTCAATAAATATTTACAGAACAGATTGGAGCTGGTGCTAGTGAGATAAACATGAAACCATATTATGCCTCTTTTCTGATCTCTGGAGATGCCCAGCATCCATAACCATAATTTAAATTAATGAGAGCTGCAGTGCTCAGCACCTCTGAACATTAGGTCATTGTGGGCACGTTCTTGGGAGTGTAGGGAAGCCTCACGGTAGTATGATGCTATGTGGTTCATATACAGCAAATTCTAGTGCCACAGTTCAGTGGATACCAAACATGAACTATGTTTTGCTTTGTGGCAACAATGTTGAATGGAGCAGTCCTCCCCAGGAAATGCATTGTTAGAAATTCTGCAGCCAAAATCTTGCTTACTTGAGGAAATGTAAAAAAACACCAAAATCAACTGTATCTGAGGCTTAGGGGAAGAGGGATAGCTCAGTGGTTTGAGCATAGGCCTCCTAAACCCCAGGTTGTGAGTTCAATCCTTGAGGGAGCCATTTAGGGATCTGGGGCAAAAATCTGTCTGGGGATGGGTCCTGCTTTGAGCAGGGGGTTGGACTAGATGACCTCCTGAGGGCCCTTCCAATCCTGACATTCTATGATTCATGGCCAGAAAGCATTATTTGCTTTAGTAGCCAAAGGGGAGAAGCTGCAACAGACTATAAAGATCTGGGAAGTAGGAACAAGTGCTAACTGTAGCACAGTTTTATAGTGAGTTCATGTTTCTTGCTCCATGGAGCATTAAATATAACCAGAATCACTCTCTGCACTTTATGATCCAGTGTCACAATTTGATATATTTTGTTCTCCTTCAGTATAAGAAAAGTTTCTCTCTATCCAAGTTCCAGTGCATTATGTGCTTTGTGTGTACAGTTTCCCCACAGTCCAGACCATGCTCTATAAACAGATCTAGTGATTAGAGAAAGAACAGCTAGCTAGTCCCTACCTGTCCTGGGGCACCACGCTGTGCCCCAGAAGTGGCTAGCAGGTCCGGCTCCTAGCTGGGGGGCCATGGGAGTCCATGTGCTGTCCCCATCCCAAGCACCGGCTCTGTGGCAAATGGGAGCTGGGGGGCGGTGCCTGCAGGTGAGAGCAGCAGGTGCTGTGAAACCTCCTGTCCCCCGTCCCCCCCGCAGGAGCTGGACCTGCTGGCTGCTTCCAGGGCACAGCGTGTTGCCCCGGGACAGGCAGGCAGCCTGCCTTAGCCCTGCTGTGTTGCTGACCAGGAGCCACCCCAAACCTGGAGCCCCCTCCTGCAGCCCAGCCCTAAGCCCCCCCAAACCCAGAGCCCCCTTCTACAGCCGAGGCCACATCCCCAGCCCAGAGCCCCCTCCCACACTCTGAACCCCTTAACCCTAGCCCAGAGCCCTCACCCCCCCTGAACCCCAAACCCCTGCCTCAACCCACAGACCCTGCTCGCACTCCGCATCCCTCAGCCCCACTCCCGAGCCTGGAGCCCCCTCTCGTGCCCCAGCCTGGAGCCCCCTCCTGCACCCCAAACACCCCCAGCCCAGAGCCCTGAACCCTCCCACATTCCCAATCCCTCAGCCCCAGCCTGGAGCCCCCTCCTGCACCCCAAATCCCTCATCCCCAGAGCCCGCATTCCCAGCTGAAGCCCTCACCCTTGCCCCAGTCAGGAGCCCCCTTCCCGCACCCTGATACCCTCATTTCTGGCCCCACCCCAGAGCTCACACCCCCATTTAGAGCTCTCACCCCCTCTCACACTCCTGCCCCTGCCCCAGTGAAAGTGAGTGAGGGTGGGGGAGAGCGAGCCACCGAGGCAGCGGGAATGTAGTAAGTTGGGGGGTCGGTGCCTCGGGAAAGGGGCGTGGCTCGGGTTTTCGGTTTTGTGTTAATAGAAGTTGGCAACCCTTCTCCCATCTCCCAGTGTCTCACAGGCCCCTGCGTACCAGGGTCCCCAGCCTACACGGGCCCCCTAGGTACAGCCTGTCAGTGTCTCATGCCCCCCCGTTGGAGAGAGGCCGGGGCCGCCCCCCAGAAAGGGGCCTTACATTGAGGGAGGCCGCTCTGCTCCACTTCTCGTCCAGGCCCAGCGCCCCCGGGGCGAGGGAACAGGAAGTTGTGTCACCTCACCTGAGACCCGCCTCCCGTTCGCACCAACGAGGCCGCCGCTACCTACCCACCACGCGCGAGCCTTAGGCGCTTCCGGCCACTTTCCCCCTGCAGTCGTCGCCCGCCGATGACGTCACGCCCGCACGTCTCCATCGCAAATTATTTAATCCGGGATGTAGCACCTCTTTGGAACGTCATCAACGGCCAACGGGAAGGAAAATGAAAAAATAAAGAGGAGGAAAAAAAAATCGAGCCCGAATTTTCCGGCCTGAGCGGAAGTAATGTGCGAGCACAACTTCCGGGAGGCGCGCAGGAAGTGATGGACTCAGCGGTCACTTCCGGTAGGTGGAGTGGGCGAGAATTGCCCGCCTCCCCCAGTTCTGTGTTGGCTCGCGCCCAGCAGGAGCCGGAGACGCCGGGTGGAGAAGCCGCAGCTGGAGCAGGGTGAGTGCGGGCCCCCGGAGCAGAGATCCCCCCCGCAATAAGACTCCTCCCGCGTGTCCTGCCTCAGCCGCGGCGTCCCCCGGCTCCGAGCCTGCAGCGGGGACCCCTCATGCCCTGCCCCGTTCCCTGAGGCAGGAGGATCCCCCCCCCGCCCCGGGGCCGGCCCTTCTTCCTACGGGGGTCACCCTGGAGCAGGGAGCCTTCCTCGGCTCCTCTCCCCCCTGTCCCATCACTGAGCATCTCCAGGAGGGAGCCTCATGGGCGGGGAGCGGGGGGCAGGTAACCCTGCCAGGCGAGCCGAGCCCATGTGCTGTTTTCCCAGCAGACTCCTATGTGATCGTGTGACACTTTATCTGCAAGCCAAGTCCGGTCAGCCCGGCAGGAGGCTGTGGTGAGGACTGGAAACTGGCTCATAGCCCGTGAACAGAGAGCGATGCTCAACGGCAGTCTGTGGAGCCAGGGCAGGTGTGTGTGCATGTGCTGTATTAGGTCTGTCCTTCACTAACGTCTTCATTAATAACTTGGCAGGAGCGAAGGGTCCACTCATGAAATTTGCAGCTACTACTACATTGAGAGGCTAGAGAAGTATTAAAGAGGATCTGGATACGTAGGCAAGAAATAACAGCAAAAGAGGCTTCTGCTTGGAATTGAGGGGAAGGAAAGTACCTGTCAGTGTGAACATTCAATGGGTGGCAGAAACCTGAAGAGAGACTAAGGGGGAGAGTGAACTGCAAACTAGAGATCAGTTTGCAGTGACATATGACAGCCAAAACAGGACATCATAGTACTAGGCTGCATGGGCATAATATCATAGTGCAGTGAGCAGGGAGGCTCCATATGGCTCTTGTGTGATGGCTGCTGTGCTAATGGCTAGTTATGTTACCAGAGAGAGTGGAAAATTTCAGGGCGCTCTAAGAAGAGCAACAAAAATGATTGAGGCTGTAGGGATTGACTCATAAGGAAAAAATTAAGAGCTAATTCTTCATAGCTTGACTAAGAGATGACTAAGGTTAGGGACATAACAGCCTATGAATATTTAAAGAGTGCCACATTGGGAGTATGACTAGAAGCAATGGGAGAAAAAAATAGGCTGAAATACAGTGAAAACTCCCTGCTAGTGAGCTGTGTTGCTGCGGAACAGTCCACCAGCAGACATGGGAGTCCCATTGCTTACGACATTTCAAACCAGATTGGACAGAACTCTGGAAATTGTAGAAAAGAGAATCCTTGTATTGGCCCCAGGGGGACTGACTGATGACACAATAAGTAATTTCTCTTTCTAGCTGTTAAGAGTCTCTGTTCCCTAACTACCCCTTCACCGGGGATTCGCCTTCCTCACCCTCCAGCAGCAACATTACCCACAGCACCATCTTCAGCAGTAAATGCCACCCTACCTATTGCGCCCAGGTTATTGTCTATTCCCTTTGGCTAGTGACCAGTGTTGGGCTTGTATTTTGGACCCAGACTCTTCGCTCTCATTCTCTCACCAGAGCCAATGTCATTTAGTGATTATGGCAGGGTATTGGGCATTAGGACTCCTGCATTATTTTCCAGCTCTGCCACTGACAGTTTGTGTGACTTTAGACAAGTTGCCTGATTTTGACAAAAAGTCTGTATGATTACTTCGGCAGCGACTACTGTTTGCCTGTGAAACGGAGCAATTGTGAGCACAAACTGCCAGTTATCTGATCTGTACTATCCTTGATTTACAGACAGGGGAAACTGAGCTTCGGTAAGAGGTGTCACAGTGAGAGAACTGGAAATACCACCGTCATATACAGTATATTGTACATGCAGTTCTTTTTCAGAATCTAGTTATCTTCTGTGCCTCAGTAGGCTAATCTATAATCTAAGAAAATAACACTTGCTTATCAAATGGGTTTGCTGGTTTAATTAACTTTAGTAATGTGCTCTGAGCATCTTGGAGGGAAGGTAGTGCAAAGGAACAAAGTAATATTACTTAAATTGTATTAAGCCCATCTAGGCATTTGCTCTTTGCCTTTACTTTCTCCTTTGGGCTTTTGATCATCTAAAATCATTACAGTCTTGATGGTGTGATTCCACACTCTGCAAGACTGTGAAATGTTAATAAGTCCTGTTAGGGGTTATAAACCTTCATCCTGTCACAGCGGTCACAAAGTAAATGTCAGATCTTTCTGATGCATGAATTTGCCCCACTGGAAAAATTCACATTAATGGCAGTCCTGTCCCTTTCAACATCATGTTGCTTTTGCTGCTTGAGAATATTTTTTTCCCCATGATAATCATTGTAGCTGTTGGTTATGTAATTACTTCAGCTAACTTTTAGAGGATACAGAGTTTGGAAAAACATGTTGTGCAATCGGAAATGTCATCTTCTCTCAGGACCATCTATTAATTTGGACTGAGCTTTGTATTCTCCTTTTAGCAGTTGAAGTTGGCAGTTCTGCGCATTGTCTGCGAGCAGGGTTAGGAGCAGGAGAGTCAGTCTCCAGTTCTTAAATGGGGAATGGCAGTGGGAAAGGAGAGCAGATGGAAAGAAAGTACTGACCTCTTAACTACTGACACTTCCATAATTAAATCCTGTACTGACAAACTTTTTTTTCTGCTGTGGGATACTTCCTGTATTTAAAAAAAAAAAAGAACAGGAGTACTTGTGGCACCTTAGAGACTAAGAAATGTATTAGAGCATAAGCTTTCGTGGGCTACTGCCCACTTCTTCATCTTAATCACAGTTTTTAATCAGATCTCCCAAACGCTTAATACTGTTGAAAAAGAGTAGCAGATAATTATTGAATATTTATGGCTCAGTTTACATGGCTTTAATGTGTATAGGAAAAATAGCACATTGTGGAAAGTGCTTGTAAAAATATATATTGTTGTGTTTAGAGACTTAACATCTTGCTGCCTCTAGTAAACAGATGTTTTTCTTGCTTTCCGGGTTAACCCATTCTCTACTTCAATTCAGACCAAACCTGCTATTTGGCTTTATTTTAGACCTGTATTAACAGTAGTGCTGGACTGGAAGAAGCCAACCTTGGTGTTACTACCCCTGTTCACCTGGGAAATGATTGCAGTTTATCTTCCATCATTCAGGGAACTGAGATTTGGAATTGGCTTCTCAGTTCTTGTCCCCAGATTGTCAGCCTCCCAGTGAGTGTGGTATGAGTGGCCATATCTTTTGGTATATGAATGTGACAGGAGACAACTTGTTACCTGGGAGGTAAAATTCTAATTTTTTCTGCAACCCGAGGATAAATATTTCTGCTGAGTCAGGTCCCAGTGTTAGCTGGCTAGGCTTTGGGTGTTTCAGGGATGTGAAGGGCATGCCTTTCATGTTGTCTGACTCATTCTTCAGTAGCAGCAGCTCTAGTATAACTATTATTTTTTTCCTAATTAAATTAATTTCTTAGCATCCCCTGCTGAAGAACCCTCTTCAAGGGATACTGTTCCCCTACTGGGAGGGCCAGAATTCATGTGTGTGACACAACTGGTGTTGCTGGGATACTGCTGTCCAGTCATGTACGTCCTAGTTACAGATGCTCATGTTTTGAAAGATGTAGTTTGGTGTGTGGGAATCATGCAGAGCAGGTGAATGGAGAGACAAAGTCCCCAGTGGCAGCTGTAGAGTATTGCAGTCAGTGTTTCCAATTAAGTCCACTAGGAACCTCTTTTCTCCCTTTCAGATTTGAATAACCAGGGTATGTGGCTCCACATACAGAACAGGCACTTCTTAATTTTAATGACCAGGCAGGCTTGGGCATCCACTTCCTGGGACCAAGTGTCATCCTCTGATTAGAAAACAGGGTAGAGTCAAATCAGCTACACCTCTACCCAGATATAACGCGACCCGATATAACACAAATTCGGATATAACGCGTAAAGCAGCGCTCCGGAGGGGCGGGACTGCGCACTCCGGTGGATCAAAGCAAGTTCAATATAACGTGGTTTCACCTGTAACGCGGTAAGATTTTTTTGGCTCCCGAGGACAGCGTTATATCGGGGTAGAGGTGTATAAAAACCTTCTGCTCCACCAGCCAGTGGTTGGGGTCAGAGGTTGTGAAGCTCAAGGCTGCTATTGTGCCAGGACTACAGTGTTGCCCATTCACTCTAACTGTAACCTTGCTGTCTGTTTGCTCACCCACAGTTAATTCCCACTGACATTCCCTTTTGGCGCTAAACTTGTTTCTACCTTGTGACCATCTCATTTCCTGCCTCTCTTTGTATTATAAGTCTATGGAAGCTGGTGATAGTCTGCTTGGCTGCTGTAGTCTAAACTTTTCTAATGCATTGTTGAATATTGTGTTAGAGCTGTATTAAAAGCACTAACGTTTGCAGGTGGCCCTGCATGAACTGCTTTGTGCTTCTTAACATTGGGGTTAGGTAAAGCGATGTACCCGTCTAACCACTTAAAAATGGGGTTATGTTCTTTTTTGAAGATTTCTCTCTAGTCTGTCATGTCTTGCTCAGAATCCATTATTTGTCCTCATATCAGTCTTTTCAGATCATTAATTCTGCCGAAGGGGCCGTTCAAACCTTGCCCCAGTTGGTCTGTATGGATAAGTGAAACTGTGACCCTTAGTCCAGTCTGTCCTCCTGAGTTACAGAGCATCCTCATGGCATTGATTGGATGTTGTGTGTAATACTTACCACTTAGTCTCTGTTTATTAGGTACAGTAGTATTTCACAGTGCTTTCCAGACACTAGCTTAATGTGGTAGAGGAAGAGCTTATTGTCTTAGTGTGTTCTGGTTCAAAATCAGCCGGGGTGTAACAGTTTTTCCAGTGATATTTTGATATGTAACAGGCTTAAAGAAGCATGTTCTGGTCACATTGTTAAAGCACAGGGTATTGGAGTTGTACAGGAACTTGGCTGTAATACTTATTATGAGGTCTTTGAGGATCCCCTCACATCTCCCTTCCTAGGGGCATACATCACCCTCTCTCTTTGGAGGGTTAGAAGTGGTTTTGTCTGCAACCTATCAGTGCCATTCAGAGCACTGTCTGTGTCAGCCCAGAGGAGTTCATTAAAAAGTAATTCAGGGAACTGGCTCTCTGCTTCATGATCCACCCCTAGGTTAGGCATGTTGTCTCCTGTCAGCTTACAGAGTGAGGACTCTGACCTGTGATCTCTGTCGTGGCAGCATGCGGTGGTGCAGCTCTAGATGCTGGGCCAGCCAATTCACTTGCTGCGTGGAAAAACATGGATGGCAAAAACTCAACCTGAAGCACTTTGAAAGGGAGTAAGAATTCATTCTTTTGTGAGGAGGAAGTGAGCCTGGCTATAAAAATGCAACTTTAAAAATCTCTACTAAAAAAGGTGAATAAAATGGGTTTATGTTCTGAGTGTGTTGAGTTCCTGTCTGCTCCTTAACATGGAGTAAAGCCAAGTTCTTGCTTTTATAATGGAAGAATTAAATTAAGCCTCCTTATTTGCATTTTTTCCATTCTGAAATTCACTAGGAAAATGTGAAATTACAAAACTGTGAGGATTCTGGTTATAAAGTGATGTATGTTCCCAGTTTGCAAAATGGTACAGAATTCATTGATACTAACATTCCCTTTAATTATTCTAAATCAATTACTTTTAAAATTGTTTTTAAAGGAAATAACTTTTTAAAAACGACTTCTGGGTGTTTTAGAGAAGGACAGGCAGAGTTTGCCCAAATAAGCACCACTGAAGAGAACTTGTACAGCCTCAGTGGCTTGCGTTTTGGCTATTAATATTTATACAATATAGATAAAAAGGACTAATGCAAATATGCATCACTCAGGTACTCACATTGTTCCTGATCTTCCATTTGGAGCTGCACAGATAGACCATTTTAACCCAGGCAGAGCCTTGTTGAAGTCAGTGAGGCTCCTCACCGGCACAAATGTTCAGTCCATGTGGATCTGATTGCAGGATCCGAGCTTTTAATAACTTGAAAAGAGAAATGTGAGGCATCCACTAAAATTGGAGGGCTATGAGCACTTCGGATTAATTCTTTTTAAAAGGCATCCCAAAGTCTTGTTGAAAAGATGAAAATGTTAGCTGTTGGGGGTTTTTTTAGATGACTTTTTTAGATGACTAGAAATTGGAAAGTAGGTCTGGTGAACAGAGGCATGACCCATTAAATGGAAGCCTGTGGTCTTTAAATTACTTGTCCTTTCCTTTGTGGGATTAAACAGTTTTAGCTGGAAGAGCATTTTAGTACTGGAATATATGCACTCATATCAAAGTAACCTATTATAGATAGATCTATGGAGATTTTGAATGCCTTTAAGATGTGTCCTAATTTTTTATTTTAATTGAATGCCCCCCTTGAGTTTTCAAGGATTAAAACATTTCTAGTTGTTACTTTTTATATTTTCTGTGGGCTTTTGGGAGAGTTATTAACGGTCAGATTATGAATTGTGTCAGTTTTATATCATGTGATGAGCTGACAATATCTTCCTCTATAGGGAGCAGAAGATCTGGGAGAAGAGCACTTACTTTGGTCTTGAATGTCTGCCGAGCTGACAAGATAGTAGACTGTCCCATTGGCTTAATACACAGAAGAGGAGGAAAACATCTGAAATACTGTACAGGAAGCTAAAAGGTATATTAATGTTTCATTTGCAGGCTGGTTTTTGTTCTTTACTGGCAGAAATTCATTCATGAACAGATAATTCGTGACTATCTAGTGGAGGAAAGTGTGTCCTTATTTTGATAAGAACCAAGGCATTGTCAATCTAACCTTCATTAGGGGCTTGTCCATACATACAATTCTGCAGCAGTGCATCTGCCCCGCTCAGTGAAGACGCTGATGGGAAGAGTTCTCCCTTCGGTGTAGGCACTCCATCTCCCCAAGAGGTGGTAGCTGTGTGGAGGGGAGAAGCCCTCCTGTTGACATAGTGCTGTATATACCAGGAATTAGGTCGATATAACTACGTTGCTCCGGAGTGTGGATTTTCCCCACCTCAGAGTGACATAGTTATATGGACATGAGTTGGCAGTGTAGACCAAGCCTACATTGTTGCCTCTGGATTAGTAACGAGTATGGGAGTGGTGGAGAGAGGCAATTAAATCTAAAGTAAAAAGAAACCTTTGTTTTAGATCACTGTCTCTGCTCTCCTCGGTGTGTCTGTGTCCCGGGCCCTGTTGTATTTACTTTACTGTGGAAAGAATGGACTTTAATGTTTAATTGGTCATTTGGTGTTGTAAAAAGGGAAATGTTAGCCCTTAGTGGACAGAGAAACTCGCAACTGGTCATTTGTTAAGTGCCTTCCGACTATTTTGTGTTCTATGAGCAGGATTTTAGTGGCCTGTCATGCTTGAGAACTGCAGTAAGTTATGTTAGGCAGTGTTATGAAGATGAGTCAGAACTGGATGGCTATCTTTTAGTGAAGATGTTTCTTTCAAGGGACCTTGTCAAGTTGATGCTAATAGCATTTGCCTTTAGGGTTGTTTCACATCTGTTCCAAAACAGTGTCAAATCTCTGTAGACTTCTAGTGGCTACAGTCTAGTTCTCCTGTGATAAATCACATTGTTCATGTTTAAGGCTGCGATTCTTTCACAGAGGTCACGGAAGTCATGGATTCCATGACCTCCATGACTTCCGCAGTGGCTGGTGTGGCTGACTTCAGGGTTGCCAGAGCAGCTGGGCCATCTGCTCGGGTGCCCCATGGCTAGCCGCACTGGCCGCTGCTGGAGCAACCCCAGAGCCAGCTGCACCAGCTGCTGCTTGGAAGGCCCCAGGCAGCTGGTCCCGGGGACTGCGGGAATAGCGTCCGGTGTGGCTGGCTCTGGGGAGTGCCCTGGGGACCGCTCGAGCAGCAGCAGTCCCAGGGCGTCTGGAGGCCGTCGGGAGAGCAATCCCTGGGACCAGCAGCTGGGGGGCAGTAAATCCCCAGCACAGGCCCCCCCAGATCAGCGGGTCACCAGAAATAGAGATTTAGTCATGGGTATTTTTGGTAGAAGTCATGGACAGGTTATGGGTAGTGAATTTTTATTTATTGCCTGTGACCTGTCCATGACTTTTACCAAAAATACCCATGACTAAACCTTAGCCTTATTCAGTTTTTGTCCCGTCTGTAGAGTGGAAGTGGAAGAGCAGGGGGATTTTTGTGTCTTTTAAAAACGTGTCTAAAATTGTAGTTTTACATCACGTAGCTTTTCTCACATTGGTCTGTAGTTATTTGCAGTTTAAATTTACACTTAATATTTGTGTGATGGTAACGCCCGCTGTACACACATTCTACAGTGACAGAAGGGGTTTTTCCATCACTGTAGCAAATTCATTCCCTTGAGAGGCAGTAGCTAGGTCAATGAAGAATTCTTTACAGGGGTTAGGTCGACTTAACTAACCCTGAGTGAGGTAGCTAGGTTGACCTAAGTTTTAGGTGTAGACCAGGCCGAAGAGTTGAACTTTTAAAGACCTGTATGCTGCCCAGCTCTGGGATAAGGATTAATGTGCTAATTTTGGGTTATTGGTCCTAATGAGGTCTTGGCCTTGGACTTACCCTGTATTGTCTTTGAAAACCATGAAGTTGTTAAAACAGTTTAGCTTGTTTCCCTGGTATTTAAACATAACGGGGAAGAGCTCTTCCAAAAATCTTAAGGTGCAGTGATTGAGGAAATAAGGGATTCCCCAGAAGCACTTGTTTACCTCTTGCAGTGCACTGTTTGCTCCCCCAGACTGGAGACCAAAGTACGTCTCCTGTATGATTTTCAGTCACTGCGAGTTGGAAGATGAAGATACCTTAATGAGTTCCTGAGTGAATTGAACATCTCCAGGCTGGTATTTTTGGAGATGAGCTCCAGGGCAGGGCATTCCAGCAGGCCCCTCACAATACTGAAAGGAAAGATTTTTATACACCAGCCTGACTCTGCTTTAAGTACAGTTGACTGGAATTCTAAATCAGGAGTTTTAGTTTGGTTTTATTTTGACACCACAATAGTTTGTTGTTACGAATTATTTGTAATTTTACTGCATAGTAACAGCCGCCATTGTTATGAGCCTTTTGTTGTTGTTGACAAAGTAACACTTTGACTAGCAGTAATTGTCTTTGTGATGAAAAATGTTATGAATCACACTAAAGCTGAATAGAGTATTGTGGGGCTGGGTGGGCAGCTCGCCAAGAACCTTTTGTGGGCGAATCCCGGGATCGCCCTAACACACACAGTGTAAGTAGCTCAGATGCAAAACTAAAGGAAAGTTGCCTTCTTTAACCTTACTTTGAATTATTTACTCCACTATTCGCTGGTCACTGCGTTATATTAGGCTGCTTTCTGTCTGGATATGGAATGCACTTCCTTTTCAGTGCTCATAAGAGGTGAGGGTCTGATTCAGTGCTGGGGCTTAACTTGCTCACCGCACACACACATGCACCTCTTCTGTAGATAGATCTGAGCGGACTGTCCTCAGGTATAGCCTTACCTTTTCTCTTTGTTCTGGGTGAGGCATCACAGCGTTATTCATTAAATACTTGGCAAAAGATCACAGAGGATGCTGAGCGACATATGAAGGGTTTTAGGTGGACACCAGTAAACCAGGGGCCACTGTCCATCTCTGGCCCCAATCATACAGGTAATACAGTAATTAAACTCCATGACAGGATCGGTGTGTCTGTTAGGCCTCAAACAGATTAAAATGTCTAAAAGCTGAACTTGCTTTACTTTCTGCATGTGCATCCTTCCACTTTTTAATCACAGCGAGATGTTTGTATATTTGAATGTGTGTGAATTAAGTAAAACAAAAATAACTTTTGAATTAAAAAAAAACCTGGGCAAAGTTTAACTGCACCACAGTCAGACCTGCAGTGTGAAAAGCACTAAACTCCCTACTTCTCAACCCAAGTTCTTAAACTTGCTGCCTGGGCCCTTTATAGTTTTGCCATAGAGTAAATGTACTTGGGGCCTTCTTAATGATTATATAACTTACAGAGGTTTGCTAGGAGATTATTTATGTGCTTTACTGTAAACACTAATATGTGTATTTGAGGTAACATTATACAAAGCTAATCCCTTTCCAAGCATACAAGGTAAGATTTGCTCTGTTAGCTGGATTTGTATAGTACTGAGCCTCTAAGCTCCTGGGAGCTGTAGATTTTTCCTGCCTTTAAAGTGTTTAATGGACAGCAGTGGAATTCAGCTCATTGGAGAATTGCATGGAAACTAGATTGTAGCATCAAACCTGACCGAGCACTTTGTATTTATATTGCACTAGCTCCATTTTATTGAAACATAATTAAGCAGAGTGTACAGACACAATCTTTCCCCACTGTCATCTGTTTAAAACTCTCCTATCTTGGAGGCTAAAACTGTGCAAAAGAAAGAATTAAACTAAAATAAAGAATAAATAGATCTTATTTATGCAGTTTTGAAATGCATGTTGGCTACGTTTGAGTGATGCATAGTGCCTGTAGAATTTTGCTGATCCCAGAGATGAGCAGTCTTTCAACTTGGCTCTCAAAAACCACTTCCCTAAGGAAATGGTATCTGTATAATCATCAGTAAATGCAACTGTGGTCCTCCAATTTCACTATTTCCTTTTGCAGCCCCAAGCCTCGTAAATCTCTCTTGCATAGCCAGTTAATAAATGTGGTCACTAGAAATGATACGGTCTGCCACTTCGTGGAATTGCTGCCCTGCTGGAATCAGGAGATGGTCAAACATTTGTCCCTGTGTCACATAGCCACACCCATGCCATGTTCTGATTTGTATTGGTGCAATTCCACTGCAGGCAATGGGGTTATGCTCGTGTAAAACTGGTGTGGGTGACAAATTGGGAGAGTCTCTGTCTGCTCTGGTAGCAGTTCTGAGAACATCCTTGAACGAAGGATTCTCATGTGACAGCATAGCTATGTTGTAAAGCTGCTGCTGTACCATTTCAGCCCTGTGTGATCCTTAGGGCATGGCAGGTTTTGCAGCCTCTCAGATATCTATCATTCTACAAAAGGAGGCTTTTGCAAGGTCACATTGCTTCGTCTGCTGTTGGTTTAGTCCTTTTGGAACCCTTTAGCATTTGACTAAACAGTTTCTATTTGCAAAATAACTAGAACAGTTTTACTAATTTGTTTAAACACTATGTTGCTCTTGCTCAATTGTTAATTATGGGAAAATATTTCTTAGTGGAAAGACTGCATGAGCGATTACTGACGTTTGGCTGATTTTGTTCATAAAGCATAGATCTTTGTGCAGGGAAATAGGGTATTTAGTTAAAGGGATAACAACTTAAAAATCACACTTCCACCTGAAAATATTTTGCCAGCTAGTGTAACAAGTAACACACGAGACTCCTACAATTGAAAGAGATTAAACTATAATATAGATAAAAAGGGAAGGAAGAATAACTTGGTGTATTTGCCAGCACTTTTGTGTGTAGTCAGTTTCTTCTGTTTGTGTGGGATTTCTTACACAGCAACAATGTTGTTGAAAAACATTTGTTAAAATAGTAAAATGAGAATTGTAAAACTACAAAAGTCAGGAAGGGACATTTGGGCCAAGTCCTAGTATCTGAAACATATTTCAACTTATTTTTTAAATTGACTAGATTTAAAGTTACTGCTTCCCCTTAAACAGAACGGAGAACCTCTCATTCCTGCACAGCTGAGTGTCCACTTGGTTCTTTTTCCATGTTTGTAACATAAAGGAAAGGAAAAATAAATACTTGTCTTGAAAACTATTTTCGTTTCCTACCAATGTGCAGTTTATGTAACTATCATTTTAATAGTCTCCTCTTCCTTCTGACATGAGAAGCCTATCAAAAACTGTAAATCTTATTTTGTCAACCAAGAGAAACTTAATGCAAAGAAGATGTTTTAGCTTCCTAGAGTATTTCTTCCAAAACAAATTTTGAGAGGCTATTTTAAGATGCAAGAGTTAAATTTTAAAGTAGGGAACTTCACGTGGTTGTGGGGGGTGTTTTGTTTGTTTATTGCATAAGAACTGTCAGCTGGTCAGTAGAAAATCTCTGTTGCAACATTATATTTCAGGCTGTCCTCCCACATGTTGCACCACTTATCCTCATGAATAAGGAAGAACGTAACTGGTTGTTAAAATTCTTTAAGGATGAAAAGATGTAGACAAAAGGAAAGAGCAAATAATGAAGGAAATGTATAATTTTCAGATTGCTTTAGAAGGAGGCAGGTTTAGAGCATGCTTTTACTGTTTTTTTTATTTTAGATTGTGCTTTAGCAAACAAGGGACAAATCTATATCCTAGTTCTTGAATTAGGTTATTTTTATTAAGGATGTGAACTATTTTGGTGGCTTGTTGCATGCATGATTAGCTCCTGGGCATGTTGCCATCATGTGGTCCGATCTAGTTTCTGGTGTGAAGAACATTGAGAATATGGTTTCAGTAAGTATTTCAGAATTAATACAAGTAGGGTTTTTCAAGTTACAACTTGGCTTTGTAATTTGGTCAACTGCAAAGCAAGCTGGTAGCATACCATTATCTGTCTGAGCTCCAGCAGCTGTAGTGGTGTCCCTACTTTCTGTGTTCACCACACTTCCGTTTTGTCCCATTAAAGGAAGCTAGTGCTTAAATTAACTGAAATTTGTTTTCAGTGACAACTCATGGAACCAGCAAAAATGGGGTGGCTTGGATGTTGGCGCACTGATGCAGGATTTCTCCTTTTCATCCTCAGAATAAGTAATAAATGGAATCTTGTCTGTTATGAGTAATCATTATACTTACACTTTTTTCTGGTTGCTATTAGATCCTTGTAAGTGACTGATCTATGAAATGGCAGAGAATGGAACAGATTGTGACCAGAGACGCATAGGAATGATCAAAGAACAGCACAATGGGAACTTTACAGGTAGGCTGAAAATGGCTGTTCCTCCTCCAGTCCAGTCAATCTGGTACCTGCAATTACCCTCACAGATTCTGAGGGAATATGTGGGTTGGGAAACTTAGCCCAAGTAGAACTGAAGGGGAGACTGACCTAGAATATACTGCCTAAACCAATTCTGTATCCTTACCATGCACAGATCCTATTGACTTGAATGAGTGTATGCTTTAGGGCTGCAGCATCAGGTGCTAATTTAAAAAAATATATATTTTGGCAGGTATTTGGGTTTAGAAAGCATTCCAAGCAACCCAACCCTTTGACACCAGAGTCTGTTCTTGGACATTGAAAAATCTACCCTACTTTGGGAGAAACCCAAATTTTAATTTCTGAAAGAGCCCTTCTGTAAACTATAGTTTGCCATTTGCTAAAGATGAATTGCTGACAAAACAATTAGCTTCTCTTGGTTACTCTTTGCAGGTGTGTTTCTGTCAGTAGGCCATTTCTTTCAGCTAACATAGAACTAATGCTTAGAGCATAGAATCTTATCTTTTCATAAATAACCTGTTGGCTGCTTTGTGCTGTATTTCATTAAAATGATCATAATCTTATCTTGTTTCCATCTGCTTCATATGGTTTGTCTGTGTCAGTTCATGCCTCTATGTAATTTAGCATTCTGGTTCTTTCTCTTTCCTTACCTACCCTGTCTCTAGTCACTGGTCACTGTATATGTATACTCTGGTCTTCACCATTCTGAAACCAGTGGGTGCCAGTGCCATCTCTGTTTGCTTTGTGTCCCTTCTTTCTGTTTTTCTTAGGTGGAATAATCTCCCTCTATATTTATATCATTAGTTTTTGTGGGTTTTTTCCAAATTTCTTCAAACCACTCATTTATTGCTCTTTAATCAATTGTTCTAATCCTCCTCACACTGATTTCTATTGCGAAGTTTGTGGTCTTTTATTGGTATTTGTTCATAGTTTATCCTGTAGCACTTTTAATAACTGTGAAGCGTCTTTGTTAAAGATGTTCTGTGAAATGGCAGAGAATGGAACAGATTCTGGAACCGAAAATATAGCACTATTCAAAGAAGGGGTGGATATTTGTATGGATAACAAGAATATACAAGCTTTTTATATTAAAGTTTTAGAAGGGACACACAACCTCATGCTTCAGTGGCTTAAACCAGCCTTTAACTTGTAGCGGTTGGAAAGAGACTCCCCTGGAAGGCAAGTTATTCCGCATCTGCCTACTATAGGGTTTCTTGCATATCCCTCTGAAACATCTGGTGCTGGCTACTGTCAGAGACAAGATACGGGACTAGATGGAACCTGTGTCTGATCCAATATGCAATTCATGTGTGAAATAAACTGTATCAGAGGCTATCTTATAAAGCAACATGGACCAGTGTCTAAAACACAGGACTGGAAGTCAAGTGACCTTGATTTCTAGTCCTGATTATGCCGTATGGCTATGGGCTAGCCTCTCTGTCTACCTCACAGGAGTGTGAGACTTACTAGTTAATGTGTGTAGAATACTCTGAACTTATAAAGCACTATATAAATATTTTACTTTATTAGACGCACAAAACAATAGAAAAATCATTGTTAGTTGGAATATAAGGATAACCAATCTATATCTTGGTTTGCTTCGTAATCTGCCTGTTTACCTCAGTGTGCACATGAGCTTCTGAGTGAACAAAATTCCAATTCTCCTGACAAGCTTAGCAAAATCCTTGATTTACACGGTCTTGGACAAGTCATCCTGATCTAAAGTAGTTAGTTTTTATTAGCGTTTATGGTACTCTCGATAACTGCACTAAATACTGCCCATAAAAAGCCTTCCATTCTTGTTCTCTAACTTTTAATGGGTAACACCAGGGATTGTTAAACCATGTGCAGTGTTTAGTCTTATAACTGAATTACTGTAATGAAACTTCTCTTCACATTTATGATGTCTAAGTTGGCTAAAGACAGCAGTTCAAACAAAAAAGTGTGCTCTCTAGATGGGATCCCTATTTTTCAGTGGATTCTCTTTGTCTGGGTGATAGAGCGGATGGGCCTTTGTAAGTAACCGTTCAAGCATGGCCTGAAGTTCTTTGCACAATGTATGATGTCTTCTCCGGTTACACAGTGGCCAGCAGACAAAACTGTGTAAAGAGCACATGCAATTCAATCCAATTTGATTGGAAGTAGTTATGGAAGGGGACCAAATTAAAAAGTTCAAGATAAAATTTGGCTCCTGCAATGGGAATGGATATTGGCTGAATGTAGCCAGGTATGGCAGCAAGTAGTGTCGTCTCTTGCATAGAGACTTACAAATCCTAAGTTCCTTGCAGCCCAGGTCGGCATATTTCTTGTTTAAATATTTTCATGGCCATCAAACTCTGGAGCAATGGGCCAGCTGAGTCGGGGAATCATGAGCCTTCCTTTGCTGTAGGTCACTTCACATGCATAGAGCCCCTGGAGCAGGGCCGGCTTCAGGCACCCGCCGAGCAAGCTCATGCTTGGGGCGATAGATGCTACGGGGCGGCATTCCACCCAATCTTAGGGCAGCACGGCTGCTTTTTGTTTTGTTTTGTTTGCCGATCCGGCCGCCCTGTAGGGGGCGGCGACGCGGAGGAGGGGAGCGACCTGCATGGAACTTTTGGTTGAAGTGGAATGTGAACTGTCAGCTTGTCGATGTATTAACTCTTCCATCCATCTTCATTTCCAGACCCCTCTTTGCCGTGTGAACGGAAGCGAAGGGACCGAGAAGAGAGGCAAAATATTGTGCTCTGGAGACAACCACTCATTACCTTGCAGTATTTTTTCCTGGAAACCCTAATAAACTTGAAGGAATGGACCATAAAGTAAAGATCACCTTTAATTTCCACCTCTAAGCTCTGTGGGGAAACTCATGCTTTGATTCAGTAGATCATTGTGGCATCTCACATTCCGTGATGATTCATGGTTATAAACCTGTTTAAAAGAAAAATACTTTTTTTATTTTAAACAAACCATATTCCCAACTGCTCACCAAAACTTGTGTGTAAATTACATTGATATCAAACTCCAAATTGCCTTGATAGCTAGAAAAGAATTAGAGTCTTTATTTCTGAATAATTGAATATCCTTCTTTGAAATGACAAGATATGCTTAGGGACCCTGACGGCATGAACTATTGTATTAATGACTGCATCTAGACGGGAGCTCAGATTTTATTATTCTATGCCTTAGAAACTCATTAAGGGATATTATTAACTCCCTATCAGGGCAAAGTTCAAGATTCTCTGGCACTTGTACTGATGTGTATGAAACTAGAGAGGACTTTGCTTTTAACCGACGTGTTCCCTTCCACAGTAAGAAATAATCTATAGTGGTCCTGTCTCTAAACCATTATTTGCAAACGGTAGGTTGAATAGACTCTCACCATGATTAGGATTGTTACCCCCAACCTGCCTAACATCCCTTCCTAATGGGGAGGTGTAGAGTTAAGTTTCTTACTGTACTAAACATTTGTATTAGAGAAGGATAAATATGAATAAAATTATCAAGGGAGAACAGCATTAATAACAAGCCATCCTAGCATGTTGATAATTAATGGCTTATGTTCAGATATGAGCCTAGGATCATTTTCCAGCCCAGTAGGTATGCTCTGATGTGGTCTTGGGTAATGTTAGTAGTGCCGATGTTAGAATGCCCCTTACTGAGGGCTTGTCTTTATGGTGACTTAGTGCTTGACAGGCTTGGATGTGAATCTACAGTGCACCAGCCTGCTGTGTACATCAAAGCACACCGTGAACTTCTAGTGCACTGCTGCAGGGTCTATGTGGTCACAGCACAGCAGGCTGGTGTGCACAGATTCACATCTCGACCTGCCGTGCATCAAGTCTCTGTATAGACAAGATCTTTAGTCAGTTGAGCGTGGTGATAACAAGCTGCATTCACCCACTTTCCAGGCCAGAAGCAGAGTGCTGATGTGTGGGGCCCATTCAGAGGATTGAGTAACTTAAATGCTGATCTTCTGAAATGACCCATGTGAAAAATAGTTTTTGGCTTATGTAGTGTATTCCTAAAAAATATCCTCTTGCACTTCTTGCTTTCTTTCAGTGTCCTTGGGCTTGTTCCTTTTGAGAACTGTATTTCCATGTCCCGTGTTATACATTTGTGACAGCTGTTTATTTAAATTTTTTTATCAAGTTACTAAAGTATGCCCTAGAAAATAACATTTTAGTTGATATTTTATCCAATTTGATTGTTACACAAGTTTAAAATATAGAAAGCGAGGTATCTGTCTTACATCTTGTATTGTAACACAGCAATATTTTGGACACTAACATTATGCAGTATTCACAGGAAATAACTTTCCTGATTCTGCTTTAACATATTAACAGACACAAATTCAGATTGTCCTATGCTGGGTTATACTATATTGTTGTTAAATGGTGCTTTAAAGGGTGACTGTCAATCTAAGAATTGCACTTCTGTCTGAATTCTTAACCTATTGTTACAAGTAACACCAAATATTTCTATAATTGAAAGAGATTAGTGAGTTTTTACCTTGTTTAATTATGCATTTGAGTGCATTGTGTTTTGTCAATTTCACTGTTTCCCCTATATGGTGATTCCCCCCCACCCCCGTTGATTGGGTGGGATTCGCACACTGCAGCAGGGGAGGAAAAACGTCATATAAGGGCAGATGTGGTTGTAAAAACACAAAAATTGGCAGGGGATTAGTGTGATACCTGAAACTTTAACTAACTATTTTAAAATTTACTCAATTGCAGTTGATGATGTTATTTTAAAAACATGATGAAACAGCAAATTAAAATTTCCGTAATATGGCATTAGGTGAGAGTGTAATTGTGTTAGATTGGCAAGAAAAGTATAAAATAAATGATTTCTCCTTAACCAGCTGTGCACAGCCAAGCACGAGGAACAGTTTTATTGCAGCCTTGTAAAGCTAGATAGACACAAAAGCCAAAGTAGCTGGATCTCAAATTACATAAAGAAATATTTCTCCCCTTCCGCCTCCACTGATAATTTCCTTACACTTGATAATTAACTGGAAGGTTTTCACATTTAATTTTTCTGAGCTGCAACAAGAGACCTTTTCAAGGTTTAATTTCAACAGATTAAGAGAGAACCCAAATAGTTATAAGGCTACCCTTTCTAATGCTACTTTGGCCTACTGGTCAGAGCATATGACTCAGTGTTAGGAGTTTTAGGTTGTATTCCCAGCTCTCCCACTGACTTACTGTGACCTTGGCCAAATTACTTAACTACTTTGTACCTTGCTTTACCCCTCAGTAAAACTGATAATACGGCAGTACCAGTTATCTTGGGTGTCAAGGCTTAATGTTTGTAGAACATGGAGTTAATTGGATGAAAAATGCTTTCAGTTTGTATAATAGAACTCTTTTATTCCGGTTCCAAGGGAGATCAGATTCCCATTAAAGCATCAAGACTTCTCAGTTCTTTGAAGAGAGCTTTGACCTATATCTTAAAATAACAAATTTGTCAGGCTGCCTTTTTACCCTTTTGATGCACTCCAACAAAGCTGTTCTATAATGACATAGAGGTGGCTTTGCAATGCCTGGAGAAATATGAATGACCCTAATTGTAATTTGTCTTTTAAGATTGTGGCATCGCCGAAGTATCGTGGTGTCTTTTTTGCTGCTGCTTGCAGTGCTTACAGCTGCGTATTATATAGAAGGAACACATCAACAGGTATGCAGTTCATCCGAGTTCTTTTCTTTTGTGGCTGGCACTTCCTGTCTTTCCTATCAAAACATACACTGAGGGGATTGAATAATGTCCTACAGGAATGGTAATCCATCTACCTGAGCGTTCATTTTATGCAGCTGTTAATTCCCCCTGTAGTTGCACTCCCTTCTGCCACATAGCAAATGAATCATAGATGGTAAAGATAGGGAAGACCTATCAGATCATTCAGTCCACCTCTCTGCAGCCACATGTATTCTACTTGTCATCCATCTCTGAATAAGTAACTCTGTCCAAGGCTGCAGTGCCGCTCCACATCTGCTTTTCAGAGTGTTCAGCACTGTGCTCTGCTGTCAGGAAAACTAAGGCTAAATGGGACCATAATCTACCAAAATGTCAGGGCTCCCAGGTAGATTGTTTCTTCCTCCTCGCAGAGGATTCTCCAAACCATCTGGGATGGTCTTTTCTCTCCAGAAGTAGAATAATCTAATGGACTGAGCATGGGGGTGGGAATTAGGAGCTCCTGAGTTCAAATTCTAGCGCTGTTACTCCCAGTTCCTTTGAAATGGATTTAATACTGACCTGCCTCTCAGGTGACTTTTGATACTTTTGCATCGATGCAAAAATGTAAACCCTTATAGAAATGTAAGGCTGGGAGGAAGGCAATACCAAGTCTCCGATTTTGTCCTGTGGGAGACAGCCCAGCCCTGCAAAGGAGATGGCTGGCTGGAAGCCATCAGCTGTCCCTTTTTGTTGCTCGGACTCTCTCTTCCATGCAGCCCTTTCAGATTCCAAAAATCTTGCCTAAATCCACCTCCACCTGCTTCCCCATTCAAAAATTTGACTGGCCACCTGTGGTGCTTGCAACATGTGCAGCAAGAGTCCTAACTCCCACACCAGATCTTTCATGTAGTAACCCAGCACAATAATAACTTTTCTGATTGTAATTGAATCCCTTGGTATAGTTTTGTGAGACCTAAGAAGAGGTCAGCCCAATGAGTCATGTACATGGGGAAGAATCTTATGCAGTTTTGAAGCATTAAAGTACATTTCATTCTGCCAAACTGGTAGGCTAACTGCCTTTTAGGCGCTTTTACAGGCATAGTGAGAGCCTCACCTTTGCTATGTGAATGTTTGGTGGCGCTAGAGAAATGACCCTTTGCATTTCAGCTGGGTTTTGATTCCCAACCTCAGCCAGGAGATCCAACTGCTGCCATTTTCGATTGGTGGTGTTCCCTGTCACTGACTGGCGTTCAATATTGAAAATGGCTTCTAGTGCTTGTTTTCTCTCATCCTCTGATGTGACTCATCTTGTTCTCATCCTTGACCTAGAAAATCAAGAGTCTGTTACATTGCAGAACTCCTACACTTGCTGTTCTGTTTTTAACACAGGCACACTTTTATTTAAATCCAGAGGCTAATAGAGTAATAATCACTTAGAATTCCCCTTCCAAGTGTTCTCTTACCATTGCTTTTATTAAGAAAATATAGAAACACTCAAACTCACCCCATGTAGATAGTGACTAAGTCACTACCATCTGGCTGTTTGGCCTCTGAAATGAGTTAATGGCTCAGTCCAGTATCTGCTTCACAAAAACTGCATTTGGTAGTAGCTGGCAATTTTGTCAGTTTAGAGTTCAACTGAACTCCCATTTCACCACTAGGTGGCTCTGACAGATTAGGATTGAGGTAGTTCGGCAGAGCATTTTGAGGAAGTTTACACTGCTTCCGTACCTGTTCTGTGGATAACTATGGAACCGTAGTTTCCTGATTATCCATCCCATAACCTTTCACAGGCACTGAGTTCCCAACAGGTCTTTTGCTTTCTCATGCAGACGTTAATGGTGGCTGGAATTGAATTACAACTATACCATTGAGTACACTCACTAGTATCCTCTTTGGACCATTGCCGTTTACATATAACTTCTGTAACCTTAGCTGTACCTTACATAGATCAGCCTGTTTTGAAAACTGTCTAGAATTCCAGTTCGGTCATTTTGATACTGATAAATTAACTTAAGCACTTAGGAAGAGCAATTGCACCTTTCTTTCCTCCTCCATGAGAATTCATCCTGTTTTTCTTTTGTGATTTTTCTTGTTTTTCAGTATGTGCAGTATACGGAGAAAAAATTCTTGTGGTGTGCCTACTGGGTAGGCTTAGGCATTCTGTCCTCTGTTGGACTCGGAACAGGTCTTCATACCTTTCTACTCTATTTGGTAAGAAACCTATAACTATATTTGCTTTCCAATCATGCTATTCCTTTTTATAAAGTGCTTTGAGATCTGTGGATGAAAAGTGCTATATGTGAGCTAGGTGTTGTATACTTGTGGACTTTAAAAAAATTCATCCTTGCAGTTGAGTCTCTGTGATGTTATCTTTGTTAAATGGTGTTTTGTAACCTTGTTCTGTTGTCTGTATGCTATATCTCATATTGAACTCTTGGTGAGATCCTGCAGTTGAAGATTGTCTTTACCTTTTAGAATTGGACCCATAATTTGTAATAATAATTTTCAATGCTATCTGTACTAATTAATGCACTTAAATAAGCAAGGAAGTTTTCTAGTATGAAGTAGCTGTGACAGATGGAAAATGGGGTCTGGACTGGGCTTTTTAGGATGCTTGGGGTTTTTTGGTAGATCAAAATGTTAATTTTCCTAGCTGAAGCTTCCGAAACATGCAGTAAATTATTCTTATAGCTCAGTCCACAGTAATTCTGTTTTATAAATAATAACAAGATACAGGAAAAACATGTCTAGATACCACACTAAATTAACCTCTAAATCTCTCTGAAGAAAACCACATTGTGTTGTTTATCTCAACTTCATTACCTCGAAAAGTCAGGAAAGTTTTGTTTTGGGCCATTGGGTTAGTTGTTTGATTATGAAACAACTGTCGTGGTTTTAAAAAAGGCTTCATGGCTGCAAAAAATAATTAAAACCATTTTGTGCATCCAACCCCATGTTGTACTTGGAACAGTTACTGATGGTTTAATTTTAGGATAGCTTTAATCATGAACAATAACACATAAAGCATTTCGGGAAACAGGAGAACTCTTGTTGTTTTCCATGCAATAGAGCAATGCCGCTCAGACTGAATGACTGCTGTGTATGCATTCACTTGAGCATTAGAGATGTGTGTGCATCAGAACTGCTTTCCTAAAGTCTTTCTCGGGAGCAGAAAAGGGGAGACATAACTATCATCTTCCCTTTGGATTAAGGTAAAAAGAGGTTGTGAAGGTTACTCGGTTGTTAATTTGAGTTCTATGTAATGTTTTAATACACTCTGGCTCTGATTTACTTTATTTTTCCCCTCTGTAAAATGGAGAGATTAGTAAAGAGGAATGTGTGTGCAAATGTAAATAAAAAAGAGGTTATATTTTTATCAGCAAGTGCAGGATAATTGTCCATCCCACACTTAAAAAACAACACACATTTCCATGGTTTGCAGGGGGAAGTTTAAAGCATAGGGTTCCATGTGCAGACTGTTGTTGACAGTAGAAGAGAGTGCATGGAAAATGACAGAGCTCTCAGGATTTCTGTTGAGAATCCTGCCTAGATTTTTTTACTGTAAAAATCTTCTGCTCTAACTAGAAAATAGTAGGTTTTCTCTGCTTACAGGCTGGAAGAGACTGGAATGTCTTTTGTATTGTGATAGCACCCAAAAGCCCTATGAATTATCAGGGCTGCATTGGAAGACATGGCTCCTTGTTCCAGTGAGCTGACAGCATATTGGTAAAACTGTAACTGAATAGGACTGTTGGGAAAACTGGACAATATGGACATTTATCCCACTGTGCATCAGAGCATTAATCCTAGGCTATATATATTGCTAGTTCTGTGAAGTGTGAAAAGTCACGTAGCCGCCAAGCATGCCTGAAATCTGAGAGGGTCATTTCATCAACTTGTTGTAACACAGTGGAGAGTTTATAGGGTCTAGAAAGAAACATGGGAGATGCAGCATTACTGAAGAGCTCCACCATAAGGTACAGTAAATAGCCTTTTTAGATCTATAATAAAGGAGAGTTCATATGTTAAGTATTTTATTTCCTTTAAAATAGAAAAGCAAATGAAACAGGGCAGTGTTCTACTTACATTTGCCTGTTTGAAGCAGGATACATGAACTGAGAGTTGTGTAGTTTGCTTAATTTTTGTTGAGTCATTAACCTGCCTTAACTTTGTCTGCAGAGTGAATGAGTGAACAGCTATCCTAACACAACATAAAATAACATTGTGTAGGCAGAGAAGCTTGGATTAATGCTGGTTTAGTGAAAGTACTTATTGCGGACTTGTAAGATCCTTCTGTCAATAAAGCTGCCTTCAAGGGCACATCATCTGCCTGCCTAAGTTAAATCAGACATTCATACTAAGCGGGCACAAATCTATGGTTGTCAAACTCTCAACTCCATTGAAAATTGATAAAGAAAAATAGGCTTTATCTTTTGTCTGAAGCATCTTATTTTGGAGGCGAGTGTAGCAATTGCAAATGAGGGGCTATTTTCTCTCTGGACTGCCAGATACAGTGTGGGCAGATGTTAAGTTTCTTCTATGAAGTTCTCACAATGTCTTATTTGTGATTCTCATCCTCTTGTCTTAGCCTTGCATTTCTCTTGAGCAGATAATGCCAGATGTGGTGGATTTTGTATTGCAAATGTGAATACTAGGATAAGACCCACCAAACATTTCCATTTGTGCTCCTAATTCAAGATCTTAACCCCTGTCTTTATTATCTTCACCTCCTAGTTGCCATTCAAACTCTGGCCAGCTTCTGATCATCCATCTACCATAGTGAGTCCATTTAGCACAGGGGTTCTCAAACTGGGGGTCGGGACCCCCTCAGGGGGTCACGAGGTTATTACATGGCAGTTGCAAGCTGTCAGCCTCCACCCCAAACCCTGCTTTGCCTCCAGCATTTATAATGGCATTAAATATATAAAAAAATGTTTTTAATTTATAAGGGGGTGGGGTTTGCATTCAGAGGCTAGCTATGTGAAAGGGGTCACCAGTTCAAAAGTTTGAGAACCACTGATTTAGCGTAACTCAAAGCACTGACTTGTTGAAAATGTACACATTAGTACGGAATTAAATAACTGAGATGTTGACTCCAATTTGAGACATTACTTGAGAGAAGCAGAAAGTTGGACTAGCATAGTAGAAGACTCCATGATTGGGGACTAGGTTCTCTTTGAAAATGCATTTCCACAGTACAGTTAAACACTTGGGAGAACTGGAGACATCCACATACTGGTGTTGTGTGCCAACATATGAACCTGTGTGGATTGTGAGTCAGATGACCTTAACGTAAATTCAGCAGTCATACCAGAAAACAGCAACATCTAAACACAGATCTTTCAATGTAAAAGAACAGACAAAATAGACTGCTCTGAATAACTAGAGGGAATTTATTATAGGGTATTAAAATTCAATAGGTGTGTAACACAATTAACTTAAGTGCATTCATACAGGAAAAATGTGCGTGCTGTTTACATACTCTCTGGATAAATTGAGCAGAGAAGCAATTTCCCATTATATGGAGGGAATGCTATAAGTTGTCCTAGGCCTGGTCTACGCCGCCGCTTAAGTCGATGTGAATTACATCACTCAGGAGTGTGAAAAAAATCACACACCCCCTCCCCCCCAAGTGACGTAGCTGGCATCAGCCTAACACAGTGTCTACACCACGCTGTGTTTGCAGGAGATGCTGTTCCGCCAACTTACCTTCTGCCTCTTGGGGAGATGGCGTACAGAAGCTGACAGGAAAGCACTCTGCCATCGACTTATCGTGTCTTCACCTGACCCACTAAATCGATGTTGTTGCATCGATCACAGCAGTGCCGATTTTGCGTGCCAGTGTAGACAAGTCCCTAGTGGTAAATAGGTAGAGGTAGAGGAAGCATAGATGCTGTTTCTTTCCTCCTTCCATATACACTTATAGAAAATATTGTGCGAACACAAGAGGTCCCAATGATGACTGTTCTGTGGACCATTAACTTGAGATTTTCTCACTTCTTGAGTGTTCTCAACCATGGTGTCACTTAGTTGCATTAACTCAGTTATGTGCAGTAGTGTTGGTCCTGCAGTCACTAGGTGGCACTACAAATGTAAAAACACAAATCTGTAATGTATGTAGGCTTGGCAGAAATTGATTTTTAGTTTTATAATTTTGACAGATAATATTGATGTCAATTTAAATGTTCACAGTTGCACAAAATTATGGTGGGTGGTGAGACAATAATTATTTAATGACAGTAAATGTTGAGATTCAAAAAGTTAAAGCTTTATACCATTAAAACACTGTCAACATCACATGTCAAAAAATACTAATTAAATATCCTTAAATCAAACTCTAATAAGTTCTCAAGCATCATTTTTCTTTTTTGCCAATCTATAAATTTCTGATGTAATCTATGGAAATATTTGTCATCTGTTCATGTGTATGGTGTAATGGACATTTATGGACATTTACCAATAAAAATATAATCCTTAATGACTTTCCAGAATTTGTACCCTACATCAAAGGAAACACAAAATACTAACTTGTGACTGCTAGGTGCAACTTCAGAGTTTAATGGAAGTCTTGCAGAAGAGCAGTATAAATTATTAGTCCAGATGAAAATAGGTGTATTCAGAAGTTCTCCAACTCATCATACAGTTATATTAGGTCTCTCAAACTGGTTCATTTAGCTGTCCAATATATCAGATATTTTTAAATAACCCACAAGCACTCTAGATAAAAGATTGTGTTCATTGTGCATTCTCCTTTGTTATTAATATATGTTCACCTCCTATTTTTAACATACTCATTTAAATTTACTTGTGTACACTTCATTAGCAGATAAAAGGATTTCTGCTTTGATCCCGTTGATGAAAACATTTCAAAATGATGTAAAAATCAAATCAGGCCTCTGTGACTTGATTTGTTGGGAGTGGAGAGTTAGAGCAGCAGTAAGGTGTTTTTTAAATTACTCATAATTAATTGCTCATACCAAATCTGAATGCACAGTGAGATTGTTGAAAATGCAATTACATGATTAGATAATAGTGCTGTCAGGCTGACCCATGTGCTTCTGAGCGTTTGTTGCTACTTGCAATAATGTCTTCGCTATTAAGTACCAACTTCTGGGAAGTGCTAGCATATATCATATATGATACAGGTGCATCTTTTAAAAATACATAGCCCTATATTTGATATGTACAATTATAGTAATAGCAGAAAAACT